CTTTTATTTTTCATTTATATTTTATTGTGGCCTTGACCTCCCAGGCTCAAGCAATCCTCCCTCCTTAGCCTCCCAAGTAGCTGGGCTGGGACTACATGCATGCACCACCACACCTGGCAAAATTTTTTATCTTTTTGTAGAGATGAGATTTTGCCATGTTGCACAGGCTGGTCTCAAACTCTTGGGCTCCAGTGCTTCGCCTGCCTTGGCCTCTCAAAGTGTTGGTATTACAGACTTGAGCCATGGTGCCTGGTTAAAAGGAGGGTTTCATATGCTTGGAAATATTCTGCATTAAAGCCACTGACAGTGGCATGTGTATCTTTCAGAATGGTGTGTTAGCCTTACATGAAATAAGGATGCAGCACAACAATTAATCAGCTTCTCAGATCTGGCAGCATTCCACCTCACAGACATAATGTCACTGCCATTAGATCCTGGGGACCAGGTGTCAACTCTCCTAGATGCTTTTTATGATTCAATAAAATCTTAATCAAAATCTACAGGACCTCTAGTGGAAGAAAAGATAATCTAAAGTTTGTAGAAAATCAATGAAAGAATAGAGGAAAAGGACTCACTCTATCCAATACCGAGACTAGGTTATAAGGCTGCCTTAAAAATAGTCTGCAGAGACAAATAGACCAATGACCTAGAACAGACAATCTGGAAGTATACCTGTACATAAGTGGACATTTGATTTATGATAAAAGTGAAATGGCAGAGCAATGGCAATAGGAAGAACATTACAATAAATTGTTTCATATCAATTGGATATGCCGGTTAAAAAAAAACCTCCTACTTCATAACATGTAGAAAAATCAAGTCCAGATTGAATGTGGTTTAAGTGTTTTATAATAAAACATTTACAAAAACAAACATAGAAAAATATCTTCATAACTTCAGGTTGGAACATTTTTCTTATTCAAAATGTATGTGTTAACCATGAATAAAGTGTTATAATTTGAGCTTTATCATACTCAAGAAACTCTGCATATCCAAAGCACCCTGTTTGTTGAAAATCCTCTTGAAGAAAATCATAGCATAGCCGTTAATATATGATCATTTTATTTAAAAGTGTCATTTTTTATAAACCTGAAAGCAAAGAGAACTGAGAAAGGCCGGCCATGGACATGGACCTGGACAAGACATTTCAACACATATAATTTGCAAAGAGTTTGCATTCAAAAATAAAATACCTTCCATACAAATATGTAAATACATTTGAATGTATCTAACAGTTGTTTATACTCGAAAATAAAAAGATCACTGAAAGACTGATGGAAATATGTGAATAGATTTACATTAAGTGCTTCCCAATGAAGATCTTCAAAAGGGCAATAAACACGGAAAGTGGTCAAGTCCATTAGTAATTACAGAAATGAAATTTAAACCAAATGAGTACTTCTATACAGATACCAAGATGATTGTAATTTTAAAAAGTTAAAAACCAAGTATTGGTAAAAATATGAATTAAAGGTGTGAGCATAAATTTATAAATCCACTTTAGAAAATGAAAACACAAAACATTCATATCCAATGACCTTGGAATGTCACCCCAAATGTCTGCCCAATAGAAATATGTATACATGGCACAAAGGACAGATACAGCACTGTTTTTAATTACAAACATGATATCAAACTTTCACAATTGGAAACAATGTACTGTCTCTTAATCAGCATTGATAAATAGTTTTATATTTATGCAACATTATATCATTCAGCAATGACAATGAATAAGCTTCCACAACAGGCAGTAACAGAAATATGTCTCACAAACGTGACAATGGGCAAAAGAAGACAACCAAAAAAGTCCCCCAAAAAGAAAGAAAGAAAAGAAGGAAGGAGGAAGAAACAAAAGATGAAAAAAGAATGGAAGAAAGGAAGGCGAAAAATACATACTGAACGATTCTACCTACGAAAAACTCAAGACAAGTAAAACAAGTCTACCCTAGTAGTTATCTGTAGTCAGGAGAGAGGTGAGGAAAAATAAAGAAAGCTTTGGGGTTGCAGGTAATGTTTTATTTCTTGACCTGGGTGGGGATTAAACAGGTGCATTTGGAATAGAATATGATAACTTATTCAGCTGTACACTTATGAGTTGCAAGCATTTCTTGGTTTTATATATCAATAAAATTTTACCTTAAAATAGGATGCATTTCAGAATCGTGTACTAAACTCAAATATGTGAAAGTCAGGGTTCACTTTCTGGAGAGCTACATACTACCTAACCCCTAATTACCTACTTCCTTTAGACATAGGTCAGGTGGTTTATTTCTGAGCTTTCATCAGTGGTTTTAATTTTGTTCTTTTCTTTCCTGATTGAACGTGGCATCAACTGGCTTCAGTCCAATGAGCAACCCACTAAGTCTAAAGAGTCTCTGTTCTCAGCATACCTGCTGATTTACAGCTCCTCTTATTTTTTTTGAAGTTTGCGATACCTTAGCTTTTTCCAAGTATTAGCATTTTTATTAATTTTTACCTAATTATAAAAGTACAGTATAATATTCTAACCCTTGTGCTTCTATTATTTGTGTAGATAATGCCAGCAACAAATCTGTAACTGGTCATTAGCAACTATAATGTCATTAGCATGTAACAATACAGAGTGGTTGTGTCTCAGCCGTTGCATACACTTTTGCTTATAAAATTTTGCATAACTTATTATAGTGTGAGTTATTCAAAAGCAGAAGATGTTAGAATTATGGACATCTGGTATATCCTAAATCATTTTGTAATACATTTTATTTCAAATATCTACATGTCTTAGCTTAATGAGATTCCTGAACCAATGCTTGGTCTATGTATAACTGTTTGTATATTTTGTTCAATTGATTTTTTAAAAATAGTTTTCTTTGGTCATGATAAATAGGTGCTATTCATGAAGCATAAAGAAAACAGGGTTATTTTTATTTATATTTCCCTCCTTTGCTCAGATTACAACACCTTAACACTTTTTATTCTACTTTTACAGTACCACATCCGCTTAAAGAAAACTAGACATGTCACCATGTCTCTCAGCACTTTAATCTTCAAGCAGGAGGAACAAGTTAATAAACTGTTTCAAACAATGTCTGATGCGTAGCATTACCCTGTATTTGTCCAAATAAAATAAAACACAATAAAAAGTAAGATACAATAAAACAGCCTGATGTAGTAACATCACAAGTTGGTTTTGGGCTCCCTGAGTCTGGAAAATGTTAAAGCTATTAAATGAATGAGTTTCTCATTAATTTTGTTAATGCTTTTTTGACTAATAAGACTTTTTCTAGAGTTACATGAATTTTCATCTGTTTGATTTTTATTTTTTCTTTCGGTTTTATATTTTTAAAAGCCATTATATCCCTCCCACTGGTAACATACACATACACAGACACACATCTATTTCAAATAAATATTTACTACTTTATCATTTTTGGTCTTAATTGTACTGTTTAATTTTTTTGTTGGGGTCTATGATGACCTAGGTTAGTGTTTTTTTAACCTCGTTACCCCCCAAACTGTTTCAGCAGCAAAGTTTGTGTATCTTCCTCCTGGCTTTAACTTGAAATGCCATGTTCAGTCAACACAGATTCTTCTTTCTGTTTCTAGGATTTTGGATCTATTTTCACCAATCTTTTACTTGTGGTCAAGTACTCTACTAATTTTAGTTATTTTTGCTTTGAAATCTACCTTAATATTACATTTTGTCTTTATAAAATGTGAAGCCTTCTGAATTAGTTTTTCTGCCATTACTTAAATGAGCATTAGACTCATCGGATGTGAGCCTTATAGGACGAATAGGAGCGAAAAGCTGAAGACCGCAGAGTTTCTGCAGGCACAGGGAGCCACAGGTGCAAAGACACCAAAGTGAATAGGCAAGGACCTTCTATAAGTCAGGAACAGTGCGGTGTGATTGAACTGGATTGTTTAACAAGCTGAGTGGCGCAAGGTGGTACTGGGTAGGCAAGGTGGTACTGGGTACGTGGCAAGGAGCATGTCATATGCAATTTTCAGGGATGTTATTCTAATGATAATAAGGGTTTTAAGCCAGGAAGATACACTGACAGATTCATGTTTTGGGGACCCTCATCTTCATATAGCAGTAGGTGAATCAAGAGGACAGAGACTGAGATGCACCTGTAATCAACATGGAATGGTTGAGACCTGAACTGGGGCAGTAGGGGTTGAGAGAAGCGTCTCACTGATTTAAGATTGGGCAAGAAGGCCCAGAGGGTACAAAGGACATGATTTTTTAAATTTATCTATTTAAACAAATAGTTTAAGTATTTTATTTGTTTGCAACTGAGCTTGTTAACACTATATAATGAAAATGTACAAATAATTATGTTGCAGTTTGGGGTTAGATTTAAGTCAAAGACATTCATTAATAAGGAGTCTTCAAATATGAATATTCCAGAAACTTCTCTATGCCATCTGATCTTAACAACTGTCTCTGAATATTACCTTACTTTGGAAGATATTGGCATAGATTTGAATTAAACCCAGGATTTTTCAAAATGAGTAATTTAAAACAACTATTTTGTATTCAAACCAAAACATTATTAATAGAATGTTGCTTTCCAGAAAGAGTAATAAAGGAAACAAGGTGTATTAGTCTGTTCTCACACTGCTATAAAGAACTACCTGAGACTGGGTCATTTATGAAGAAGAGTTTTAATTGACTCAGAGTTCCACAGACTGTACAGGAAGCATGGCTGAGGCCTCAGGAAACTTGAATCATGGTAAACAGGAAGGGGAAGTAAACCCATGTGACCACAGTGGAGGAGGAGAGAGAGCAAAGGGGAAGTGCTACACACGTTCAAGCAACCGGATCTCATGAGAACTCACTCACTAAAGGATAACAGCAAGGCGGAAATCCCCGCCTTGATCCAATCCCCTCCCACCAGGCCCCTCCCCCAGCGTTGCAAATTACAATTCAATAACAGATTTGGGTGAGGTCATAGAACCAAACCACGTCACAGGGCATTTTGCAAAATGTGGTTCTGAACGAGTCACAGGAAAAAATAAATGTGTTCTCAACGTGCACCTCCTCAGAATGAGGCTGCTGTCTGTTCCTCAGCTGGGAGGAAAAATGAAACCTAGCCTGTAAGCAACCTCGGGCAGGGGCTGCCGACACAAAGCTTCAGAAGTGAACACGGACGCCTCAGAATAATTTGGGGAACCTGATCAGAAGATCCAAGTACTGTGTGTGATAATGAATACAGACATGGAAGCGGGTTCTGCTGTGCAGCTGCCGAGGCCCGCCCAGCGCTGCCCAGGCTCTCCTACCTTAGCCTCCTGGCAAACCCTGGAGTTCTTCCCCCAGGGAGACCTTTTCTCGTCAGCAGCTCAGTGTCAAGGGAGCTCTTTGTGTGAATGAGGTGAGTGCCAGCAACGCCATGTGGCTATTTTAAGCCTGGGTTTGAAAGTGTTTTTCTAACACAGCCAGGCAAGTCCATGTATCAATGGTCTGTCTCCAGGTTATTCTAATTCTCACCGTGCCGCTATAGACCTAGGATCACAGACCTTTAGAATATCGTCATAATCACATCTCATGTCTACCCTAATTTATGATTCATATTCAGTGCCTGGAAACAGTCCCTGTATTTAATAATAATACCTAGACCTAAAATCATCCACTGTTAATAACTTACATGGTTACAAAACATTAATGATTTCCTGTAGACCAAGCAAATATTTTTAACTACACTTGGCAAATGACATGACTTTGCTAAGTCATATGCAAGATAATCGTATGCATTGCTAATCATATGCAAGAAGGGCAAAGAACAGAAGAGTCAAGAATTACTTCCAAGTTTCCATCTTGAGACAATGCGGAGACATGTAGCTGTTCACCTAAATTAGAGACGGTCAATAGAGAAACATATTTAAGGAGATTTTGAATTCAAGTTATCCGAAGGGATACATCTAGTGGGTAGTTATGAATTTGTGTCCAAGTTTCTGTCTTGAGACAACGGGGAGATGTGTAACTATTACCCTAAATTAGAGATGGTCAATAGAGAAACATATTGAAGGGGATTTTGAATTCAAGTTACCTGATGGGATACGTCCAATCCTATAAAAGCGTATAAGGTGTCCCGCAGAACTATTGAGAGTAATGATCTTCATTTAGAGATTAGCTTGTGTAAACTGAGGTCATGGGATTAGCACAGATTACCCAGAGAAATTAGGAAAACGGGACTAGAAACCCGAGGATGAAATCACAGAATTACCAACACAATTGCAACAGTTGAAGAGCAATTAGCAGAAAAATCATGACTTAAGGGAAAAAGGAGTAAATAAAGGGAGTGAGTACCCAGGAAGAATAGCAGGAGAAACAGCGGCCTGGGTTTCCAGCAGGAGAAACAGACACTCACACTTTCAAATGCCGCAGAGCACAGAGAGATAAGAAAAGCAAAGCAGCCATTGGGTAGTACTTTGGGGACTTCGTTGACCCCTTTTACATACGACGTCATCTGTTGAATTTTCACAGAAGTGAGAGAAAAGAAGCCACAGGGATGTGGAGGGAATTGGTAATAAATTCCAATCAACCTTTCGCTCGTTCCTTTGCCTTTTTTTTTTTTTTTTTTTTTTTTTTTTTTTTTTTTTTTTTTTTTTTGAGGGCTGCTATGAGCCAAACGCTGTGCTGGGCATGGTCCTAGCGCAGTGAACTAACCAAACAAATTCGCTGGCCTAATAGAGCCCAGCCACTGATGCGGACAGAGAGAAAACATAAACACATTTATGTATGGGAGAACAGAGAAGGCTTTACCGAGGAGCTTTCCAGGAGGCCTGAACTCAGTGAGGGAGAAAGCCCTGCAGGCACATGAGGCAGTGCAGGCTGTCAGCGGGGCCGTGCGGGTGGGACTGGGGAACAATGAAGGGGAGCAAAGGGGAGCGGGCGGGAAGATGAGGTCTGAGGGGCGGAAAACATGGGAGCACGTAGGGCTGTGAACGGCACCGGGTAGGGAACTCTGAAGCGTTCTCACTATGTTGGAGAGACTTTGGAGGGTTTTGAACAGTGGCGTGCACTGACCTGAGTTATATTTTATGAGAATGACTCTTTGGAGAATATACGGTAAAGTGATGGAAGAGAGCAAATGTGAAATTCTTACTCACACAGGTTGGCAGAAGGAAGGAAACAGATGAACACGATCACCAGACTGCAGTGAAGGGAATGGGAGAATTTTCAGCAGGAGAGAGGAGGATGTTCTGAGTTGTAGAGAAGGAGGGGCCCACGGCCAGGGGGCAAGGTGCAGCGGGGAGAGTGGGTTGAGGCAGAAAGGTTTAAGGTAAAGAAGGATCAGATTTCGGCGAGAAAAAGGATAACTCTTCCACGTTCAATCAGAGAAAAAGGAAAAGAAGGAAGCCAACCTAGGGAATTTCATAGTGAACTCGAGATGTTCAAAAAATCTTCATGAATGTCCCCTATTTTTTCCATAACAAAGATACCAAGGTCCAGGAAGAACAAGAAAAAAGGCAGGAATCATTTGTGGAAAATGGAAAAGTCAAGAAGATGAGAGACACATGGAATGGTTGCCCTTGATTACTCAGGCCCGGCTCAGAAGGGAGACAATGAATTTGTAATGGCAGAAGGAAAACTTTCCCACTTTGTATAACTATTTATTCCAAGTGTGTCTGTTCTTATACTGGTCTTTAAACTATTTTACTAGTAAACATGGTTGGCAGTCATGCCCACAAAACCCTGGGCATAGGTCATGCTACCATTTTCAGTTAATTTACTGCCTTAAAACTGATATGTTTAAAAGATTATTTTAATGAGCAATGCTAAAAGTTATTATTAGAACAGTGTTTCACTTCTGCCACGGGAAAAATATGATTTATAGAGAAAGATAAATGCCCCATCATTAGATTGCATGTTGAATCTCTTGCTAGAAAATATGTTTATAAATAGTCTCATGATATGTAACCTACAGCTAATAAATTACTATGGATGACTGAACTATATAGTACACAAGACATTTAAGGACTAATACAAACGTTTTATTGCAAGTGAGAAAATTAAGGTTACACACTGAATGAGTGATTAATATAGTCAGAAATTATCCCAAGATAGCTATAGTTCAAGGGGCCAACAATAAACATATTGGGTGGTGTTTTCATTGAAAAAAACAAAAACATTTATCCTATTACATTAGGTTTTGCCCAGAAAAATAGGTATTGCATTGTAACATTTAATGAAATAATGGCCTTTCATTGAAACACATTTTATTGTGGGAGTATTTTAAACTTGTGGTATATTTTTATTTCTAAGAGTTTAGGAAGCAAGTGTATGTGAAAAAGTCTAGCCTAATAATTTTTACATGCATCATTCCTTTTGCAATATCCTCTGAATTAGCTTAGTGTGGACATTATTTCTGATTGGATACATGGCTGTGCGTCACTCAACCTTAGGGATGTTTTTTCCAAGATACTCATCCCCCAAACAACCGCCATTGGCATGACGATTTCAAGAGGTTTCTCATTCCCAGGTTGTTCGATATGTTTCACGGGTGTGCCCTTGAGCTTCTGTGTAAAGCGAGGGTAGTGGGCTCATCCTTGGAGGAATATAATAACCCACGATGAGGAGAGAGTACAAGAGCAGTGTTTCATTTCATAAAAATATCAATGCAGACAGGTCCTCAGGCTCAAGATATGCTCCAGAATACACTGTGTAGCTAAGGTTTGGACTTCGCCGTTTGCTCTACCCGTCACCCCGCGGTCCTCAGCCGCCCTTCCTGCTCCTGGTTTGGCAGCATGTGAAAAAGTGTGGCCACCCAAATGCTAGTTAGGACCACCCAGATGGCCAGGCTGAGCGCGCACCTTCCATAGGTTCAAGACTAGAATTAATTGTGAACATAATGAGTAGAAAGAGACGCCTCAAGCACCCTTGAGAAGACAGATTTACTCCCTCAGAATCCAGGGAATAACAGACGAAAGGAAGACCCGGCTCTGGGTAGGAGATGGACGGGGCCTCACAAAATATTACTTCACACTGATTAGCTTCAGCGGTTTCCCTGTGACAGTGTTAGTACGTGTATTCCACCTGAGGACCTTCTGCAAATGCTGTTCTCTTCCCCAAACACCTAACCCACCAACGTGTGTCTGCAAGTAAAGGCTGCAGACTGGTTTCTGCACACACGTTGATCTGCAGGGAGCTGGGGGCTGTGAGCCTGCGTGCCGTCTTCAGCTGATTCCTGCAACACCCTGGATGCTCTAATTCCACCCAGGTTTTGGCATACCTATCTTCGAACCTAAATTATCCCCTCTTCCCACAAAGTGAACATTTGCAGCTACCTGCTAGTATTCTGATTAAGAAGAGTATAAATAGGCTTCACAATTTTCAGAAATTCTTCTATTGAACGTGATGGGAATCGAAAGAATCTTTGCAGCTCTATTTTATTTACTTACCATTGCCTCCTCTGCCCAGAGGAAAGAGGCGACTGGGCAGTGCTGGTTTTCATTTCCCTGTACTTGCCCCCAGACCCAGCAAGCACAGCAATTAGAAAACCTCAGTGCCGCATCTATCTCTGTTACTTACAGAGATATCGTAACATGTTCATTCAGACTTTACCACTTAACTATAGCAATTCAAAGGGTACAAAGGGAATAGAAGAATAACACCTATTTTTATCACTTTTCCATTTTCAAGTGAAGAGTTACGATATTTCCTTAACATGTAGTTCCTAAACTTCTGCAAATGGAGCAATAAATCTGAAATACTTGTTTTAAAATAATCAACTTGTCTCATATTGAAAGACAAAATATGCTTTAGAAGATTTCCTTCCTTTCTTCTTTCTTCTCTGTTCCTCCTTCCTTTTTTTATTCCCTCTTCCCTTTCTTTTTTCTTTCCATCCTTCAATTATTTCTCCTTTCCTCCCTTCTTTTCTGCCTGTCTTTCCTTTCTTCCTCCCACATTTCATTCCTTTCTTTATTCATCCTTTCTACTGCAGTACATAGTTACTAAAAAGATGAAGTAATTTTTCAGACATAATATTTTCCCACCAAACCCCCATAATACTGAGAAACCCATCAATAACCTAGCTCACAATGTACAGGATATCATCATTCTCTCTACTTGGAAATGCTAAAAAGGAATGCATATACCCGCTGAATAAATACGCAAGTCATTTAAAAACAGACACAGGAAATGGTCATAAAAGTCTACTTTCTCTTGTCAAATGCAGGATTGGGTTACACATTTTAGATGCTCCCAATTCTGGCATCGACACCTCCCATTGTGATCCAATCTGAAAATAATGCTAAACTATAAAATAAGAGGAGGAAAGCTGTGATATTGTGATTTCTAATAGGAAACATATATTTTGATCTCCATCCTCAATTCCAGGCACAGAGCTCTAAAAACTCCTGTTATTTCCTG